CACACGGCTATTCGTAATTGCTGCTTCTCTGTATTAAACGTTCTCTGGTTAAACGTTCTCTGGAAGTGCTATCCAAAGAGAAATGTCAAAAAATAACGAAACTTTGTGAAAAGAAAAATAGTCGAAAGCAAAAATTTGGAGAAGCCAGTTTGCTGGTTGTATTTTGTCGTCTGTATTTGAGTTTTAAACATAAGAAATTCTGCATTTTAACCATTTAATTGTTAATAAAAATCCGCTTTTGCGGCCCACTAGCAAGTGGAATTTAGTGCGATTGTCTAGTGCATGATATCGTTGAGTGCACTGCTGACCAAATACACGCTGGGCATCATGAGCAACTTGGGACACAATCAGCCAACGGGTGGAGCAGGTTCAGGTGCTGGTGCTGGTGGGCAAGGAGTGGGCGGCGGTGTTGGCAGCAACAATGGCAATGGTATACAAAATCCCGCAGCCGAAGGGAGCATGGAGCGCGGCAGGTAAGGTGTTGTTTAACAACTTTCATTTACTAGTTTTTTCGGCGCACACACATACATATATATGTATCTATACATCTTTTAATGCATATTAAAATTTTCTTACGTATGATTTTAATAACTATTAATTGTATAACCATAGCTGCCTGCTACGCTATGCAAGTCAAAATTCTTTGGATGAGAGCTCCCAGAAGCATATTCAGCGCCCAAATGGCAAAGATCGGACCGTTGGCCAATATCATAATGAACAACATACCACACGCTCATTCGAGGCCATGAACGAAATGCGCAAGTAAGTGCAAAAAATAAAATATACATACTTTGAATATCTCAAATTGTGCTTATTTTAATATTCATAGCAGACAACCTTGCCAAAAAAATATTCATCCATACATATGTATATATACACTATGCATTATTTATATTTTCAATTTAAATTCCCTTGCGATTTTGGTTAATTGGCGCACACCAAACGCCTGGTGTCGTTCATAAGACATAATACCGGCGGTATTTGTCGACGTTAGCAATTAGTAGCAGCTGTTGTACGCGTTTAGCATGCCTATGCAAACAAACAAATACTCAATTGCGCGTTACAAGTATGTACTATTGGCTTTTGTTTAATGACGTTAACTTTTCATTTCCTTAACTTACTTGTTTGAACAACATATGTACATACATATGTACCATATGTACATGCGTGTAAACTACAGGCAATGCAAAACTTGTTTTGTATGTAACATCATGCTTCTCCAATAGTAAAAGTGTTTAGAAGCGCTAAGCTTCCAATGAGTAAACATTATCAAATAGGAATTATGTACATACTATATAGTAAACAATATTTTTAATGATAAGCATAGTGGCGACTCCTATCATTTCATACAGGGCTGATAACTTGAATTGTATGTACATACATATGTACATGTGTATATATCTGTGGTCATAAGCAATAACCGCCTAAGTCGAAAAACTTGAATTCGAGAAAAAAACGTTTTAAACATTTGGGTTGTAATGTTAATCTTATGGGGAAACCGTATGTTCGTCTATAACTTTTTAAACAGCCTAACTTTCGAGATGAGGATTTCGCATACACATAGAATATTAGTTGCAGAATACGATAGCATATATAACTCAATTCTTTCTTAAGTCGACTTAGGCGGTTATTGCTTATGACCACAGATATATACATGCGAGTATTTACTCTGCGGTTGTTTAGCACACGCAAGCTCTAGAGTGTTATAAACCTCACTCAGCCTAAATTTAATATTTGATTAGTCGGTAAAAAATAATTATTGATGCTTTCGTATGCAAGCTTGATACTACCTTGAACTTGGCTTCTGCCCCGTAACGAGAATACATCGTGTTTTATTTTTGCCACTTGCTGTTTATATTTATGAAAAAATACGTGTTTTATTTTTGTTACTTGCTGTTTATAATTATGACAAAATACCCTATAGGACAGCAAAATATTTATTAACAACTGGAAAAAGTTTACGATCAACTTGCTCGGTAAATATAGAACCTTCTATAAAGTTTGCCTGTTAATCTATTAATGCCAATTCATATTTGTGATTTCTTCATTATCCAATGATCGGATCCAAACCGAATTAGTATGAGGCCACCTCTGAAGTACTAAAATCTTTTATTGCATAAAACGATGTCGGGACTTATAATTCGATGAATTGCAGCCTAATCAATCAAAAAGTGAATTTTGGATTGTTAGTTGCTTTTTGTATTTCAAGGACGCGACATTTTAGCAAGTTTTAGCTTCTTTTCTTCTGTTTATTCAATGTTTATTCTTTTTTTATGAAATTATAGCTGATTACTTACAAGCACGATGTAGATCGAAATTTCAGGGTTTGTGCAAAAATGATGAAAAGTTTGACCCAAATTTCTAACTTGCATATCTAGACAAAATTTGTGTACGCAGTTTTGTAGTTTTTGTACCTATGAGTTAACGTTGATTTTTGGCATTTTTTTTTTTTGTCAACGCTGTTCCGCATTTTTTTCATACAATTTTTTTTCATAATATATAATTATATTTTTTTATAATTGTATGGAAAAAATGCGGAACACGGTCAACTAAAAACAAATGCCAAAAATCCATGGTCAATGCCACTCCAAATTTACACTTTTTGTGCTAAAAATTAATGGGCTACAAAACTGCATACCAAAATTTTGTCTAAAGTTGCTGATCAGGAAGTTAGAAATTTTGGGTCAAACTTTGCAGAATTTTCATAATTTTTGCACAAAGTCTGAAATTTAAATTTATATCGTGTTTGTTAAGTAATCAGCTTTACTTTCAGAAAAAATAATAAACAATTAATAAACAAAAGAAAAATAGCTAAAACTTGCTAAAATGTCGCGTCCCAGTTTTTATTTGATTCATAGTCATGTGAAAAATAATAGGGACACGACATTTTGACCCGTTTTTACAATTTTTCTTTTGTTTGTTTAATGTTATTGGTTAGTAGTTATTTTCTTGTCCAAAAAAAATTCAAAAATCTTTATTATTTTTTTATAAAAATTCAATTCGTTATCTAACAGAAACCATATAAGTCTAGATTGCAAACTTTGTAGAAAAATTCACCATAATTTTACAACAATAACAAAGCTCTTATTAAGAATTTTTAGAAAAATTATTAGTTTCTATGAAATTTTATAGCCCATTAAATTCTAGCTTAATTAAGAGCAAGTTTCAACTGGCAAAGAATTCGTGAGGATTTTCGATATTTTTTTTTTTTGCTGACACATTTTCATTCATACAGATCAGCAATTTATTTTGTTATATGGAAGAAAATAGTAACAACATTGGCGAAATTAAATTATCAAACATCAACGCGAACTCTTAGCCCCTTGAAACTTGTACTTTATCAAGCTACAATTTAATGGGTTATAAAACTCTATACTTATAATTTTTCTTAAAATTCTTAATAAAAAGACTGTGGTGGTTCTAAAACTTTGGCGAATTTTTCTACAAAGTTTGATTGATGTATAGCAATATTCTCAGCCAGAGCATTAAGCTTCTCTATACACTCCAGGACCAATGGGAATTTTCCCTAAAGGGTGAAAGTTTCTCTTTCGTGCCGCATGACTATCACTTAATATAAGGATCCTCTCAACTCCCGTCGTGTTTTGAAACAACGTGCTGTTACATCAACAACAAAAACTGCATATATATATATTGTCAATAAGATTTTTAAATCATTTTGCTTTGCGAAAAACATTAAAAATCCACTAATTACCTAACCAACTTTTTTATTTTAGGCAAAACTTACTCTGCGATGTAACTTTGGTTGCCGATGATATTGAAATTCCTGCACACAAAATGGTACTTGCCTCCTGTAGTCCCTACTTTTATGCCATGTTCACTGGCTTTGAGGAGTCACGGCAGGGCCGCATAACACTGCAAGGCGTTGATCATCGTGCTCTTGCATTGCTCATTGAATACGTTTATACATCTACAGTGGAAGTTAATGAGGATAATGTGCAGGTCTTATTACCCGCTGCAAATTTACTGCAGCTAACCGATGTACGTGAAGCATGTTGCGATTACTTACAAACACAATTGGATGCCAGCAATTGTTTGGGTATACGGGAATTCGCAGATATTCACGGCTGTGTCGACTTACTGAACTATGCAGACACTTATATAGAACAACACTTCAAGTGTGTAGTACATATAATAAAACGTATGTTAATATTTACTAAACTAAATTATTTGCACTTTACAGTGAAGTAATTCAATTCGATGAATTTCTCAATTTGAATCACGAACAAGTGACTAGTTTAATATGCAACGATCGCATTTGTGTTCCAAGTGAAGAAAAAGTATACGAATGTGTCATATCATGGATACGTTATGATCCGACTATGCGAGAGCAATATACCGCATTGTTAATGGAACATGTACGGTTGCCATTTCTCTCCAAAGAATATATAACTCAACGCGTGGATAAGGAGCCATTGTTAGATGGGAATATTGTATGCAAAAATTTGATAATTGAAGCTTTGACTTATCATCTACTACCGAATGACACGAAATCTGCACGTACCATTCCACGAAAGCCAGTTGGTTTGCCGAAAATACTCTTAGTAATAGGTGGACAAGCACCCAAAGCAATACGTTCGGTAGAATGTTACGATTTACGCGAAGAGAAGTGGTATCAGGCAGCCGAAATGCCGAATAGGCGCTGTCGGTAAGGGTTTTGCAACTATGAAAAATAAATAATATTTTCAACCACTGCTTACTTTTACCCGAATGTAGTGCCGGTTTAGCTGTACTAGGCGATAAAGTTTACGCTGTTGGCGGCTTTAATGGTTCATTGCGTGTGCGCACAGTCGATGTTTATGATCCCGCTACCGATCAATGGGTCACTTGCAACAGCATGGAGGCACGACGCTCAACACTTGGTGTCGCCGTGTTGCACGGTTGTATTTATGCTGTCGGTGGTTTTGATGGCACCACAGGTCTCAGCAGTGCGGAAGTATTTGATCCCAAGGCTGAACTCTGGCGTCTTATCGCATCTATGTCTACTCGACGTAGCTCTGTGGGTGTTGGTGTTGTCAATGGCTTACTTTACGCTGTTGGCGGCTATGACGGTTTTTCACGCCAATGCTTATCATCCGTGGAACGTTATAATCCTGACACAGATATTTGGTGCCCAGTAGCCGATATGTCTGCACGTCGTTCTGGTGCAGGTGTTGGTGTGCTTAATAATATACTCTATGCTGTAGGCGGTCATGATGGGCCCATGGTGCGCAAATCGGTAGAAGCTTATGATCCTGAGACAAATCAATGGCATGCTGTGGCTGATATGGCATTCTGCCGTCGCAATGCTGGCGTTGTGGCACATGATGGTGTATTGTTTGTGGTTGGCGGTGATGATGGTACTTCCAATTTAGGTTCTGTCGAGGTATGTGAATAGGAAGGCATATAAAAAATCGTATAAATGTTGTAAATGAAGTGTTATTGATCATATTTAATTTTTTTAATTGTTTTGATTTTAGGTATACTGCCCCGAGACTGACACCTGGCGCATATTGCCTGCTTCGATGACTATCGGTCGCAGCTATGCGGGTGTATGTATGATAGATAAGCCCATGTGAATGGAAGAGCAGGGTGCAATGGCACGGTATATCCTCATTTTCTTTTTGATATTGCGAAGTAACACATTGTGCTCAACCATGAATTATATATAATATTTTTAGCCATGCAAATTCAGCAGCCGGTGGAAACATAGATGATGAAAACAGTCAAGCTGAGGGCAGCAATGTCGAAGGTGCTGTTGGTTACTCACGTAACGATGCACATATCAATCTAAACAACAATGTTAATAACAATGCTTCTCAACAACAACTACAACAAAATCATCCACACTATGAAAACATCTATGAATCCCTTGAGCAATATAATGCTGCGGCTGCCGCTGCCGCTGCTCCTGCTGCTGGTGCTGGCGCTGGTGTCAATGCTGTTGCCCCTGCTGATGAATTGCCTCAAGCAGATGTAAATGCCATACAACCTAACATTAATAATCTTAACAATGTCAACAATAATCAGCCACGGATTTTACCAAATATAAGTTATAGAAATGATCTTTATGATCGCACAAACACGACATCACCAGCTTATGATGTGCCGCGTGCTGTGCGCTCCGGTTTGGGTTTTCGTCGCAATTTTCATATTGACTTGCAAGGAGGTAAAAAATAGAAAGCTATTTAAATATTCCTATTAAAGTATTATTATTCTCGCCTAAGCCAATCGTTTCAACCCATCACGCGCCACTGCAGCCAACGCTGCTCCTCTATATGGCAGCAACAACAACTGTCAACGACAACGTAGTTTCGATGACACCGAATCGCACAATTACTACAATTTCAATTACCAACCCAGCATGCGTTATGAAAATATTTATGAACAGATTCGCGATGAGCCAATCTATCGAAATACGGGTAGTGGAGCACGTGTCTATGGTCGTTTGGATGTCATCGGCCATGGCATTGGACGAATCGAGCGCCATTTGAGCTCTTCTTGTGGCAATATCGATCACTACAATCTTGGTGGACATTATGCCGTACTTGGGCACTCGCAATTCGGCACTGTTGGTCACATACGCTTAAATACCAGCGCATCTGTTGCTAATGCGCCTGTAATAAATGGTGCTTGCACCGCTATGCCCCCAGTTGCAAATAGCCCTGCGGCAACAGCGAATATTATAACAACCGGCAATCAAAAGGATGCGAGTAATGTTAAGAATAGCGCCTCATCATTCTTTAGCTGCCTGCAAGGAGAAAATGCACAAAGTATGAGCAATATATATCGCGCTTCTGTAGGTATTGGAAGTGGCATCTCAACAACATCTGCAGCCGCCGCCGGACAACAAATACCCATGCAATTCACTGGTGGTGAGATGTTTTTTTTTTGGCTAATCAATTGTTGAATATAATAGTACTGAACTTTATTTCTCAATACGCAAGTTCTTCCAAACAACGCCAGAGAACGGGAGCCGCGCTCTGCTTCGGCTGGGCCATTAACCATGAGCTGCAGTAGTAATAATAATAGCGGTAATGGCAGTGGCAGTATTGACTTGGCCGCCAGCTCATCAAGTAATCGTCAAACAGGGGCAATACCAAAAATAAAAGGTTTGAATTCCAATAAAACTGGCGCCTCGAACAGTGCCACTAATGCTGCAGCGGAGAAGGCGCTATCCATCAAGAATGCTATTACTAAAAAAGCGACAGCTAACTCAAGCACTTCGCAACAAGCGGCCACTACAAAGGCAAGTACGACTAGCTCAGAGCACTCTGCCGATTCTGGCACCTTGAATCGCATCTCAAAATCTAGTCTACAATGGCTTTTGGTTAACAAGTGGCTACCATTGTGGATTGGACAGGGACCAGATTGTAAGGTATGAAAGTGTTTTTTAAGTAATTGCCGCGAAACATTAATGCACATTTTTCTATCATCTACAGGTGATCGATTTCAATTTTATGTTTTCTCGTGATTGTGGCGGTTGTGATGCCGCCTCTGCTGCCAGGCATATGTCGAATCCTTACTACACTCCACGTCTCGGCAATATGATGCCACATGACCTGGTGCGTTTCAGTGCTGCCAATGCCGAGATGCATGCGCCCTGCGCTGCTGCAGCAGCGGCGCTGAGACGCGACCTCAACATGCGACCGCGGGCTTTGAATCGTCTGCGTGAGTCTGAGCAAGCCAGTCGGTGTGATGTAACTACTACACATCGCTATGAAGATCCCTCGTACGAAAATGTACATGTACATTGGCAAAATGGTTTTGAATTTGGGCGTTCGCGTGATTATGAACATAGCCATCAATCAGCGAATGGTACAACGCGGCCACAATTGCAGCGCGCACGCTCCGAAAGTCCGAGCTTTAGCACACAGCAAAGACGCATGCGTCAAAACGTTAGCGGAGCTTCCAGTAATAGCAATAATGCAGCAACAGCAGCCGTTAATAATATCCCTAAATATGGCGATCCATTTAAAAACTATGTGCTCAATGCCGAGAACAATACATTCAAACCGAAACTTGCTAAAGCGGAAAATGGCGAAGGTGCCAATGGTGGCGTGCAGAGCGGAAATGGAAATGGAAAGGGTGCAGCCGAAGTAGTAATAAATGCTTTATCGGACAATGTTAAGGGTAACGAAACACCACCAACTATTGGCGAACAATTAACTGGTACAAATCAAGTTAGTGAACTTGAATTGGAAATGGAAGGCGCTATGGGCGGCGCCAGCGCTGAAATTTTGTCATGCTCAGTCGCAGCGAATGCAACAGATGATGTGGGCGAAATTCCGACGAATTTGGGTAAACCACTGAATTTCAATATTAATGAAAATCAGAATGAGAATGTGAATATGAACATGAATGACAACGAGACTGATGCAACAAAGACAAATGCCACTAACAACAGTAACAATAATCAAATGAATTCAACTAACAATGAACAAAACGATGATTGAAAACAAAAACGAAGACATTGCTAAGCAAAACGAGCAAATTATGTAGATGTTAAAAGATAATTTTAAATACAGAAGTTTTGGCATAGTAAAACATAAGAAATGTAGCACATTCAAGCACTAAATGTTGAATTCCATGCAGAAACATAGCCTCATGCGTAGAGTGTGCACATTATGCAGGATGTGTCGAAGATTTATGCGGTGAAAATACAGAAACAAGCAGGCGATTCAGGACAATGCTAGTTGCTTGCAGTCAATGCTAGTTGCTTGATAATTTTTTGTTTTTTGTTTGTTAAATACATATCAGGGTGTGCGATAAGAAGAGGCACAACTCATACAAAATTTTGGTGGATTTTTTTTTTTGCAGAAATCTGTAGGATTTATCTCCAATTAATTCCAATTATTATTTTTTCTTCGTCATTATATTCTGATGTTATATTAATTGCACTTAATCTGTACGTTCCACAAGCGGTTATATTTGACTTTTGAGTTATGCATCTTTTGAAGAGGGTGTGCGATATGTAAATTAAAAAAAAAAAAAATGAATTTAAGTATTTTAAAATTTTGATGCTGGGTCAGTTAAATTCTACACAACCTGCAAAATGTTGTCATTCGAGCAATAAACGCACATACATGCATAACCCCCCTTTAAATATTCAATTATCGTAGGCATAATAAATAATTATTTTGAAGCATAGTATTTTGATTAACATATTCAGGATATATTTTTTGTATAATCCCCATTTTTCCAGAATTACATGTTTACACATGTTAACTTTTAATTACACATAAGTAAAAGAAATTGTATTTTTTCTACTTTCGCTTCTTTTGCGTTATTCAACGCATAAGTTTTACAATATTAGCATTGATTTGTTGTTTATTATATACTTATGTATACTTAATACTAATTTATTTGATAAAGACAATATATCAAAATAAAAGAACCTAAGTACATTAATACATACATACTTTTGAGCTTATTCATGAACGAGTAATTTGAAAATAAGTTTGTTTAAGACAAATCGTACCACCTAACCGGAGAACGTTAATAAATAAATATAACGTTTATAAGTAAATATAAATTTATAAACGTAAATAAATATAAATTTATAAACGTAAATAAATATAAATTCATAAACGTTCTCTACTATGATATTGCATTGTCATCAGGTTCTGAGCTAAGTTTGAAGTTTCAAGTTTCTAGCTCATCGGGAAGTTGGTTAAAAATTGACTGCAAGATTTCATTACACACAGGTGAAACATAATAAAAGCTTTTAATAATAAAGTAGTAGTTTTAAAAAGCTTTATAAAGTGACATTGGCATACAAATTTTCCATTTATAAAGCTTTTTAAGTATTCTTTATTTATTATGAAAAAAGCCATTAAGTTACATACATATTGGCTAACCATTGAAGAAACAAATTCATAAGCTATATCAATTGCCGACATACTGAAGAGGTGTTTTCCATATGAAGACTCAGACGTGAGACGTAGCATTAGCTTTCGGAGAGATTTAAAACGTACCGCCACTATTACAGATTGTAAATGGTAAATGCAATTTGTCTACCGCGAAAAAACCAGCATTACCTACCTACCTAAATAAATAAATAAATATGTAAGTAATAAGTTGGGTCCAACGGTGCCGGGCTGGCAGTTCCCGCTAGATTTACAATGGCAATACCAATTATTTGAAAATATTCATATTTGGAAGGGAGAATAATGGAAGAAACCCAAACATTTTAAATTGTTAATTGTGCTTGAACGACTCATGTTGGCATGGTGTATGACAAAATGGGAAAAGTAGAGGTCTTCAGTCGTATACATGCTCTGCTATACCAGCTATATGTTCGCTTTTGGCCCATAATATCATCAGCGAAGGTGCGGATGAAAGAGATAAACGTGTGTCAAAATATGTCGACAAATTTTGATGTCAAAATATAACATAGTGAAAACCAGCCTGTAGGTTTGAATTACGTTTGACAAGTCGTTTGTAAATGGTGATTTTTTAAGAGCTTGATAACTTTTTTTTTAAAAAAAACGCATAAAATTTGCAAAATCTCATCGGTTCTTTATTTGAAACGTTAGATTGGTCCATGACATTTACTTTTTGAAGATAATTTCATTTAAATGTTGACCGCGGCTGCGTCTTAGGTGGTCCATTCGGAAAGTCCAATTTTGGGCAACTTTTTCGAGCATTTCGGCCGGAATAGCCCGAATTTCTTCGGAAATGTTGTCTTCCAAAGCTGGAATAGTTGCTGGCTTATTTCTGTAGACTTTAGACTTGACGTAGCCCCACAAAAAATAGTCTAAAGGCGTCAAATCGCATGATCTTGGTGGCCAACTTACCGGTCCATTTCTTGAGATGAATTGTTCTCCGAAGTTTTCCCTCAAAATGGCCATAGAATCGCGAGCTGTGTGGCATGTAGCGCCATCTTGTTGAAACCACATGTCAACCAAGTTCAGTTCTTCCATTTTTGGCAACAAAAAGTTTGTTAGCATCGAACGATAGCGATCGCCATTCACCGTAACGTTGCGTCCAACAGCATCTTTGAAAAAATACGGTCCAATGATTCCACCAGCGTACAAACCACACCAAACAGTGCATTTTTCGGGATGCATGGGCAGTTCTTGAACGGCTTCTGGTTGCTCTTCACTCCAAATGCGGCAATTTTGCTTATTTACGAAGCCATTCAACCAGAAATGAGCCTCATCGCTGAACAAAATTTGTCGATAAAAAAGCGGATTTTCTGCTAACTTTTCTAGGGCCCATTCACTGAAAATTCGACGTTGTGGCAGATCGTTCGGCTTCAGTTCTTGCACGAGCTGTATTTTATACGGTTTTACACCAAGATCACGGTCTTCAGCAACACTCTCAGAAACAGACGCAATATTCTCTTCTGTACGCACTGTACGCATTCGTGTGGTTGGTTTAATGTCCAATAAAGTAAACTGAGTGCGAAACTTGGTCACAATCGCATTAATTGTTTGCTCACTTGGTCGATTATGTAGACCATAAATCGGACGTAAAGCGCGAAACACATTTCGAACCGAACACTGATTTTGGTAATAAAATTCAATAATTTGCAAGCGTTGCTCGTTAGTAAGTCTATTCATGATGAAATGTCAAAGCATACTGAGCATCTTTCTCTTTGACACCATGTCTGAAATCCCACGTGATCTGTCAAATACTAATGCATGAAAATCACCCGTTACAAGTTTCGCACGATTGCCATTGGGCTGTTTCACACTAGAATGACAGAACAATTTAGGCTTTCTGCACATTGGTCGTCCAATCATAGTTGCTTCATCATCACAATCATGATGCAACGATTACATGACGACTACACTTTCGTACACTCGGTCGTGATATTTCAATTCATTTGGCGTCTAAAAATTCACTTGGAGCAGGTATTTTCTGTTTTTCTGGTTGATATTTTCACGAAATATTTACAAAAACCTGCAATTTTTAAAATATAGACTGTGCTGCAACAATTCTAGACATCATTTTTCAGTAATATCTCCTCTTTTCTTTTCCTGAAATGTGTTTTGTGCATGCACACAGAGACTTTTTACAATTTCGTCATATTTTATAGTTAAAACGCTCACATTTATTGAATTTTAGTGCAATTATCCACTTTTTAATAATTTCCACAGATTTTATGCAAAAAATACTATTTTGTATGCAATTTTAATGAAATATTCATTGCAATTTTTACCCATAAAATGTAAACAAACAGTGCGTGCACAACGATTAGCAAACGACAGTGCCGTACTTATCCGTTTCTGCATCTTCTACGAATTGCCGATAACTAGCCGATAACGACAAGTGTGCAGATCTCCTTTGAAATGCATGTGCTCGGCTCAACATTTCAGGGCGAGACGATAACGCAACTATGATTGGACGGCAAGTGTGCAGATAGCCTTATCTCACGGCTTCACACTGGATGAAAACTACCCAGCAAGAACGACCTAACGCATTCTCCAATACACTTACAAAATTGTCAATAAAAACCAACACATTCGCATATTAGCCATATCCATATGCTATTATTTGCGTTATATAACGCATTATTAATCGCATAATAATATTTGATTGAAAAGAGACAAATGCATATAGAATAATATAATAGCGAATTCCATGTAAAAGAAAGAAAAAACTGCTCACGCGTGAAACGATTATGCGTTATATTTCTCCAGGAGCCCTATGTAAAATGATGGAAAGTTTTTCAATTTCTCACACAAACTATTTGTAGTACTAGGCGTATATAACGCGTTAGTTAACAGATAGGGTTCTTACTGGGTAGCAGAACAAATGTGATGTTCACATGCAGTAACTTTTGCGCTTGAAAGTTCCCAGTAGAAATTTTAAACATACGACATGCCAGTATAAATGAACCTTCATTTCCATTTAACACGCGTGGTTTCTCAGAGCGTATGCGTACCTTAATCATGCACTTGTACTACTGCTGTATGCATATGGCTGTATTAATATTTCAAGCATACAAAAATGCATTAATGGAACAGTATTAAAGCATTCTTACAAGATATGTATCCCCATATGTAAATGCTACTTTTCTGATACATTTTAATATACGGGGACATACAAACAAGTAGCATTTACATATGCAAATGCATATTTTGGTAAAGCCCGTTTGTGCTGAAAATAGTATCGCACAACACGTCTGTTCACTAAAATTTTTGTACAAGACTGAAAATATTACAAAAATTCCACTTCAAATTTATCAAGAAATGTACTTAAAACAACGACAACGTACATTCGCTTGCAATTCGTTGGAATTTGAATTTATTCGTGGAAATTCATGACTACGCATGAATTGTTCACACTAATTCAAAGCCCAGTTAGTCAACGACGTAGCGTAAACGTAGGTTGACGTACGTAGCACCGCCATGCGGTGGTGAGTTTTCGTTAACACGCGAATCCCATAAGGTAGATCGTGTCTGCGTCAACCTACGTCTACGTTACGTCGTTGACTGTTTGAGCTTTCACTCATATAGCAAGCATTCTTAACTTGCTGTCTCCACAGGTAAAAGTTTTTATCTTGATAATGTTATCAGGCAAAATTTTGCCCATGGAGACCGCATATTGCTCTTGGCAAGCAATAATTATCAGAGCTTTTATCTTGATAAATATTTCCAGCAATTTGGTACTTTGACAGCTACATTTTCATTTGCGCGATAGCTTCGTGGAGACAACATTATCGATATTTCAATATAAAAGCAAAAATTGAACTGTTTTCTATTAAAATATGTGTTATTATTTGCTTGGGTGTGAAATAGCATATTTTTTAAACTTTTTAATTGATGAAATCGGGCAAAAATTGCCATCTTATAAATGCTTTTATCAAGATAAAAAATGCCCACGCACAAATATTGCCACTGATAAAATTTTTATCAGGCAATAAAAATGACAGTTGGTAGGCAAAAACTTTTGCCTGTGGAGACGGGCCGTTACGAATGCATACAACCGATTTCTATTGGGTTGCGTAGCGGCATTTTCGTAGTTCCGCATGTGTTAGTGCGCTGCAGCAGAAGCTGGAACAACTTTTTAAGAAACTTTACCTGACCGCACTGCTAGGGTTCGAAATTTCAGACTTTGGTATCGATACTGAGTACTCATTCTGCCATCGAGCTCACGGTATCGATACTCTAAAAGTATCAGGGAAAAAGTATCGATACTACTCAGTATCGGACTCATTAAAATACGTTTCTTGGGATACTAAAATTATTTTGTTCTTCAATCGTATATCTAGTTATTTCCTGAAATTAAAACAATAGACATTTAAAATATTTGATTTTTATTTCAGTGCAGAACTTACTTCCACGTTAGAAGTAATTTAAACGTTAAATGTACATACATAAATACACACATATTTACTTCCACGAATTTTAAATTTTATTAAGAATTTTTGGAAACTTTGTGGGTATGCATTTTTGTAG